ATGTCCACACAAATGATATAATATTTTTCTTCACAGGAAGCACATACTGTGCAGTTTATACACATTAGGATTTGAGGACAAAAACATTGATCACTGGAAATACTCAAACTTTAAAGAATTCACTGGCAGAGGCATCTGCCAATGTTTACATGTCTCATAGTGAATATATCTGGCAGCTTAACTCAGTTTTACATGTACTATAATTGTACAGATGAGATTATTCCCAGTCACCTTTTGAGGTTACTGACAACATCTAATCTACATGACAGCTTCTAATCAAACCATTCCAGGAAATCAAAGAAACAACTCATACCCTTGAAGCCTGATCTGGAATTTCTGCCAAATAGTTTATCTTGGTCAAGCCACAGTCAGTCCTCAACTGTACAGCAAAATAGGCAGACGTGGTTAAGGCACTCTTGTGTGTGGAGTTTATAATAAAAAGCAAGGGTCTAGCAAGAATTTTTAAACCCATTTTTATTCAAATCTGCCTGAATGTAAATCAGTTCCTGTTTTCACACATTTTCATGAAATCAGACTAAACAAAACCCATCTGTCAGCGGCTGCCTCAGGTCCCAGCTCACAAAGGACCAACGCCAGTTGCTCTTTATAAACAAAAGTCTTTATTGTGGTTCATTGTTGGTTTGACATCCGTGGCGTGCAGCGCTACGTCTGAGTCCTTAGACCGGCGAAGTCCCGTCTGAATCCGCCCCTCCTTTACACCAGTTCAATACCCGAGCTTTGCTCCACCTCTTCCTTTCCTCCCTCTGCTCCTTTCGCCTCCGGGTCCTCCTGCCCTCTGGGGTTCCAACCCTCCTGGACTCTTCGGAGGCGGATTCTTCTGACTCCTCCCCCTGTCTCCGGCGGGCTTTGGGACCTGGCTCCCAATCCGGATTTTCTGCTGTCCCGCGCGCCTCTACATTTGAACTTGGCGCGCGCGCCCAGCCGCCCACTTTCCTCCTAACGGCTACACTGCTCCCTTCACTGTTTTCTCCTTCAGGGAGGCTGGCCGGCCCTGCTCTCTCCTCCGCCCCTCCACTCTCTGACGGAGGCGTGGTCAGTCCTGCCTCACTCTCTCCTCCTGCAGGAGGAGGCTTTTGTTCTAATCTGTGGGATTCTTCCCCCCCCCGCTGCGCTCTGGTGGGGAAGCTAGCCCTGATTTCCAGCTGCTGCTTGGCGACTCCCCACTGGCCCCCCTTGCCCTGACCCTGGGGGCCTCCTTCTGGGAATCTTCTGATTCGCTGGAGAGACTCAGGGAATCTCTCTGGTCACTGTCACAGCCTCCTGCGCTCCCCTCCGATTGTTCCCCTTCGCTCTCCATCTCCTCCTTCTCCTGTGGCTCAGTCCCTGAGCCCCTGACACCATCAAATGTTGTATTTTATATTGGGAGTGGAGTAGAAACAGCCATGCTATTTGCAACCTTTTCTTTCTTCTCCCTGAGGATATGCAGGAAATAGCTGCATATTCTACACATGGCTTTTAGCTGTCACCAGTTTTGCTCCTTCCAGAGTACTGTTCAGGACATCCAGCACAGGGTCAACTTCTTTTGGAAGAGGGAGATCACTAGAAACCCATTCTGAAATAAGAGGAAGTTTTTTGGGACTTGCAGAATTACTCATGAAGATTGGTTATAATCCGATAAAGTGCTAGGCTAAAAGCACACAGTTATTTCATGTTTTCCATTAACTTTAATAGAAGTTACACACAGCCAGCTTTCTGTGGTCTGCATTCCTGACTAGTTGGTGTGATAAATACTCCACAGTAATATGTGGCATTATATAGCACTCTTCTGGTGTTCAGAGCACTTCATGTACATAATCTCAGTTTATTGTCACGGTAAGATAGGAAAGTAATTAATATTACCCCTGTGTTATGGTTGGGATGGCTGAGCCTGAGAACCGGGGCCTGCCTAAGGCAGAGGTATGATTTATGCAGGCAATGTCTTGATTTATAGCTTATCCTCTTTCCTAGAAGGACTGTAGCTCTGGGGTAGTTTACATGCTTGCATGCAAAATGCCCCAGGTTCAATTCCTAGCATCTTCAGGTTGAGGTTGGAAAGACTGTGGTGAGCTGTTGCAAGTCACTGTAGTAGGCCAGGGGTGGGAAACCTATGTTTCTCCAGAGGTTTTGGACTTCCAAATACCATCAGTCCCAGCCAGCATGATCAATGATGTGGAGGGTCACAGGTTTTCCCTTTCCTTGTGTAGACAATGCAGAGATAAAAGGCCTAATGGGCTGGACTTGTAATAAGTATCCTAGATTCACCCTACAAACAGCAGCTCTTAGCAGGAGACTGGATTAGCCATATGACAGAAATGATGTGCAGAAATGAAATGTAACCAAAACACTGGCTTAGAAACAGCCCTACATTCCAACCAACAACTTTTTCCTTCTGAGAACACTGTTTATAAATATTGTGACTGTGACATATAGAGGAATCAAAATCAATCCATATACCAAATAATTCTGTGACAAAGACCGTCCATAAAAACTGCTGCAACAGCAGAATCCTTTAGAAATGTGGGGATTGCATTAAAGAGAGCACTTTGAAGAGCAGAGCACCAAGTACCAGCAGAAGGAAGATGCAGAGACAATTTAATAGCTGACATGGGAAGGAAAGGGAACCAGCTGGCTGCTGTCAGGGGAGGAAGGGGAAAAGGGGAATAGAGATGCTGACAAGCTACTGGGCAGCTGCTCTTCCAATTGCACCATAAGCCAAGCAAAGAGCCTTTGATCTACTGACCAAGCCTGGGCTTGCAGCCAGGAGTCATATCCTTTCCACAGTAGTTGAAGCCAGTTTCCCCTCACCAGATCTTCTCCTGCTAGCTGATCACAGGACAGACCTTTAATGAAAGTTTCCCAGTCACTGAAGAAATAAGATCCCACAGCCTTCCTATGCCTAAGCATTTATTTTCTCAGATGAAAAAGTGCAACACGCTGCTCTGCTTTCCCATCTTGAAAGGAGCTGAACAAAGAAGACTACCCTGAAGTATGTGGATTATAAACTGGTGACTTCATATACAGATGCTGTATGTACAGTTGCAATACCATGACTGGATAAACAGCCCAGCTGAAAGCAGCAGACGTTACGCTACGTGGAAGGAGACTGATACTTGCAGATAAATCTTGGCTGGCGTTATAACTGGATTCGACTCCCAATTCCAGCCAAAAATTCACATTATAAAGCGATTACTAAAATCTTATAAATAACAGCATTTCTCTACCGAGAAGAAAGTCAGAGAAATTTTATTAAACACATAATGTGGCTATGGTAATCTCAGTGAGACAATATGGGCCACATTCTGAACTGTATTTCTAAATGACACTGCCCAGGAAAAGAAAGGGGTCAAGGTGCATGAACACTATTGTGGACCACTTCAAAGTTCACAGAACATTCAGAGACCAGCCCTGGTGTTATTGTGTTAGGAAAAATAGAAGCACAGAATAGTAAAAATGCTGTGAGCAGCTGTAAATCGCTCATTAGCTTTAGGAAAGAAGGCCAGCACAGTAAATCTACACTTTACAGTTATTCCTTCTTATTTTCTTTATTTTTAAAAAATCTATTTCTTCCCCTGAGAATTTTGTTGGGCTGGTGGGTGGGTGTGTTCGAGATCTTTCACAGAATTCTTAAAGCCATATCAAACCACTCCTAGAATTCTTAGGAGGGAAGCCATGACAGTTAAACTTAAGATAAAATGAGATTTACATGGGCAGTAGAGATTTGGCCCAATAATGCTTTATTGCAATTCACAGTTACTGCTCCTTACAGTAATGTGGGTGCGGGTGACACTGTGTGCATTACAGTCATACCTCATGTTACGTTTGCTTCATGATACGTTTTTCCAGGTTGCATCCTGCGGCGACCCAGAAGCAGTGGAAAGGGTTACTTCCGGGTTTCGCCACTCGCGCATGCGCACAAGTGCCAAATCGCACCGCGCACCTGCGCAGATACGTCATTTCAGGTTGCGGGCTTTTCAGGTTGCGAACGGGCCTCCGGAACAGATCCAGTTCGCAACCAGAGGTACCACTGTACTACTGATGTTGGCACAGAGGTGGGCAACTTCCTCATTTGGTCTGAGAGGCCATTTTCTTCAAACCATGTCCACCTTGCCCCAAAGCCTGACTGCATGTGTGACATCAGTTGTGGGGCAGGTAGAAGCACACCTAGATCCTGCTGCGAGAAAGCAGAATTGAACTCCCCCTGCATCGGCTGATGGGTAAGGAGTTCAGTGCTGCTTGTTTTGGGTGCCTGGATGAATTATTCACAGGAAACTTGCTGCCATAACCGAACCCTGTAGAAAGCAGGACTGAATTCACTGAGCATCAGCGGATGTGCAGATGTGGGGGGATTCAGAAAAGCCGAATCTTTTCAGTACCCAGAATTTAAAGCTGAAGAGCACTACTTGTGTCATTTTGGTATTTTGGACTTTCAAAAGAAAAAAGCAGGTTTCCAGGTAAAAGCAAACCACATCACACAGGACATGCCACCGTGTCAGTTCAAAGAGCTCAGTCAGCTCAGTTTTTCATCATGTCTCTTGGAGGTCAGGCAAGGCACTGCAACTCCAAAAATAAACACATCTGTATTCCAAAGGCTCTGGGCTTGTTTTGTTTCTTCCCTCTAAAACAATCTTCCGCTTATAACATTATTTATTTATTTTTTCAAATCAAGTACAGACTTGGCATAGTGTAGGATTGAACATGATTCATACAGTAAGTACTTTCTTGAGAGTGGGTGTTCTGTGTGAATTATATGTTATGTGCAAACTTCACTTTACACTGCACTGCTGTCTTGGTGCAACAGATAATTATTCAAAGTTATTCACGAGTTCCATGAAATTTTTATCCACGGTCCCTTGCCCCCTGCACTTTATACTGGCCCATAGTTTCTTGGACCCAGCAACTGTTAAAATATAAGCCAGGCTAGTTTCCTGCTGAGGTGATGTGCCATTAGGAGAACAAATGAAGACTCAGAAGACTGTTATAACTTGTATACCTTTTTTCAGGTACACTTCTTGAAGTAGAGAGACAGAATTCCCTGCCACTCTGAACCAAATGAAGTTACTGAAACATCTTCAAAAGCAACCCCATGAAGAGTATTTATTGGAGAGGTCAAGTCTGCTGGATTTATTAACGTCATGAGTTTTATAGCAGGTATTGTATTGTGGCTTGAAATTGTATCTCATCTGTTACTGCATACGCTTTGCCTATAAAGGTGATCTATACTAATTTTTCAAATGAACAGATAAGTAGCTAACAGAAACTGTAAGAATCCTATATTTAAATTCGGGGTGGCCAACTCTCAAGAGACTGCGATCTACTCATAGAGTTAAAAACTGGCAGTGATCTACCCCATTTTGGGGGGTTCAGGTCAAAGTTGTTGAGTTTTTTTAGGAAAGAAAGCCCTGTTTTTTGCGGTTCAGGTCAAAGTTGTTTAGCTTCTTTGGGGGGGGGGAGTCAGTGATCTACCAGTGATCTACCACAGACATCCAGTGATCTACTGGTACATCATGATCTACCTGTTGGGCGCTCCTGTTTTAAATGAAAGGGGGAAAAATTAAAGGAATCTTGCCAATCTTGAAACTGTAAAACACTCTGGAAGTCCATTCAATTTATAAGCAGGTGCACATTTAATTATTTTTAAAAACCATATGGAGGTGTTACTTTTTCTACCAAGGAACTTAAATTCCTTGATCAGAAAAGGCAGACTTTGTAATGTCTGAACAGATAGACCTGTATCTTTTTAACACATGTGAAGCCTAAACAAAAATTATCTAAAGAGCTAATTCTAAACATGTTTCTTTTGCACAATGAATCTTGGTGCAGACATGAAATATTTATCAGTGTTCACCAAACACTCCAGAGCAGGTCCCCCCTCCCAATACATGTGTGGACATTGCCACAATTTCTTACACGTGATGGATGATACATGTGCCAAGTATTTGGGACTGGCTGTGTCTTCTCTGCATCATGTACACACAGTGGAAGCTAAATTTGCTAGACTTTCTACCAGGAAATGTGAGCACAAAATAATTATGCTGTGTTTGAAACTGAATCTTGTCTCCAAAGCTGTTCTATGAACATTATTTAAAAGAACAACATCACCCTCTAGTGTTCAACCACTCTCATTATTTCAATATTCATAATGCCTGGTGTTAAGACACCAATTGACAAAGATACACAACAGCAATTGCTTCCCATAACCTAGGAGTGCTTCCAGGAGACTATTCCATGTCTCCTCCATGAAATGTGATGGAGGGTCCCACAATGTCGCCATCCAATTGCAAATGTCCCCTGTTTCCCATGACTTCTTCTGCCTTTCCCCCCTGGCAGTAGAAATCCATAAAGGAGGGAAAGAGTGGGGAAATACCAAGACAATTTGCTTTACAGATTTGGATGGGGAAATGCACAATTGAGGCATGGTGGGAGTTGTCCCTGGGGGAGGTGGATATGGTGTTGAGAATGCCCCTCACTTCTCCATGGCTTGCCCTGTATTTTCCATCACTGAGCCAGTTTGGGTCCTTTCCCTGGAACTATAGCTAGCCCCACTGCTGTAGTTGATTGCTCCTTGGAATGAGATCTCATCAACCCCACACTTCAATTAATTCTTTAATTAAGGAATTCAACTATGCCTTTTAAAAAAAGTTATTGTATACATTGTTTGGGGCTGCTTGGTAATGCCACTGAAAAATGCAGCTGTCACATCTAGTGCTGCATATGCATTACAGTGGTACCTTCGGGTAAGTACTTAATTCGTTCCGGAGGTCCGTTCTTAACCTGAAACTGTTCTTAACCTGAAGCACCACTTTAGTTAATGGAGCCTCCTGCTGCTGCCGCGCCACCGGAGCACAATTTCTGTTCTCATCCTGAAGCAAAGTTCTTAACCCGAGGTACTATTTCTGGGTTAGTGGAGTCTGTAACCTGAAGTGTATGTAACCCAAAGTACCACTGTATATTCCTAAAGTACACCCCCCAAAAGAATTCTGGGCACCATTGTTTACCCCTAACAGAGTTGCTATGCATCTTTAAGGTAAGGTATATAGCTGGTGGCGCTGTGGGTTAAACCACAGAGCCTAGGGCTTGCCGATCAGAAGGTCGGCGGTTCGAATCCCCATGACGGGGTGAGCTCCCATTGTTCAGTCCCAGTTCCTGCCCACCTAGCAATTTGAAAGCACATCAAAGTGCAAGTAGATAAATAGGTACTGCTCCGGCAGGAAGGTAAATGGCATTTCTGTTTGCCAGAAGTGGCTTAGTCATGCTGGCCACATGACCCGGAAGCTGTCTGCGGACAAATGCTGGCTCCCATGGCCTATAGAGCAAGATGAGCGCCGCAACCCCAGAGTCGTCCACGACTGGACCTAACGGTCAGGGGTCCCTTTACCTTTACCAATACAGTGGTACCCCGCAAGACGAATGCCTCGCAAGACGGAAAACCCGCAAGACGAAAGGGTTTTCTGTTTTGGAGGCGCTTCGCAAGACGAATTTCCCTATGGGCTTGCATCGCAAGACGAAAGCCCATAGGGAAATGCTGGCGGTCGGGAGCAAAGACTTTCGCCCACAGCCGGCCTTCAGAAGAGGACCTCTTCTGAAGGCCGGCGGGGGGCAAAAGTCTTTGCTCCCCCCGCCTGCCTTCCCCCTGCCTGCCCGGGGCGATCTTAAAATGCTGGCGGGCGGGAGCGAAGCGTTCGCTGCCGACCCCCAGCATTTTAAAATCTCCAAGGGACAGCAGAGAAGTCTCTGTCCCGGGGAGATTTTAAAATGCTGGGGGTCGGGAGCGAAGCGTTAGCTGCTGACCCCCAGCATTTTAAAATCTCCCCCTGTCCCGGGGAGATTTTAAAATGCTGGGGGTCGGGTTCTCTGCCGACCCCCAGCATTTAAAATCTCCCCGTGTCCCGGGGAGGTTTTAAAATGCTGGGGGTCGGGAGCGAAGCGCTGCCGACCCCCAGCATTTTAAAATCTCCCCGTGTCCCGGGGAGGTTTTAAAATGCTGGGGGTCGGGAGCGAAGCGCTGCCGACCCCCTGCATTTTAAAATCTCCCCGTGTCCCGGGAAGGTTTTAAAATGCTGGGGGTCGGCAGCCCGACCCCCAGCATTTTAAAATCTTCCCGGGACACGGGGAGATTTTAAAATGCTGGGGGTCGGCAGCGCTTCGCTCCCGACCCCCAGCATTTTAAAACGCTGTTCCGAAGGGGGGGGTGGGGACACCTGCCCCAGCCGCCCCACTTCGGAAAGCTGTTCCGAAGTGGGGGGGGGCGGGGACACCTGCCCCAGCCGCCCCACTTCGGAAAGCTGTTCCGAAGTGGGGCGGGGGGACGGGGACACCTGCCCCAGCCGCCCCACTTCGGAAAGCTGTTCCGAAGTGGGGAGGGGGGGCGGGGACATCTGCCCCAGCCGCCCCACTTCGGAAAGCTGTTCCGAAGTGGGGAGGGGGGGCGGGGACACCTGCCCCAGCCGCCCCACTTCGGAAAGCTGTTCCGAAGTGGGGCGGGGGGACGGGGACACCTGCCCCAGCCGCCCCACTTCGGAAAGCTGTTCCGAAGCGGGGAGGGGGGGCGGGGACATCTGCCCCAGCCGCCCCACTTCGGAAAGCTGTTCCGAAGTGGGGAGGGGGGGGCGGGGACACCTGCCCCAGCCGCCCCACTTCGGAAAGCTGTTCCGAAGTGGGGCGGGGGGACGGGGACACCTGCCCCAGCCGCCCCACTTCGGAAAGCTGTTCCGAAGTGGGGAGGGGGGGCGGGGACATCTGCCCCAGCCGCCCCACTTCGGAAAGCTGTTCCGAAGGGGGAGGGGGGCGGGGACACCTGCCCCAGCCGCCCCACTTCAGAAAGCTGTTCCGAAGCGGGGAGGGGGGGCGGGGACATCTGCCCCAGCCGCCCCACTTCGGAAAGCTGTTCCGAAGTGGGGAGGGGGGGCGGGGACATCTGCCCCAGCCGCCCCACTTCGGAAAGCTGTTCCGAAGTGGGGAGGGGGGGCGGGGACACCGGCCCCAGCCGCCCCACTTCGGAAAGCTGTTCCGAAGTGGGGAGGGGGGGCGGGGACACCTGCCCCAGCCGCCCCACTTCGGAAAGCTGTTCCGAAGTGGGGCGGGGGGACGGGGAGACCTGCCCCAGCCGCCCCACTTCGGAAAGCTGTTCCGAAGCGGGGAGGGGGGGGCGGGGACACCTGCCCCAGCCGCCCCACTTCGGAAAGCTGTTCCGAAGTGGGGAGGGGGGGCGGGGACACCTGCCCCAGCCGCCCCACTTCGGAAAGCTGTTCCGAAGTGGGGCGGGGGGACGGGGACACCTGCCCCAGCCGCCCCACTTCGGAAAGCTGTTCCGAAGTGGGGAGGGGGGGCGGGGACATCTGCCCCAGCCGCCCCACTTCGGAAAGCTGTTCCGAAGTGGGGAGGGGGGGCGGGGACACCTGCCCCAGCCGCCCCACTTTGGAAAGCTGTTCCGGCATGCCGGCAACTCTCCGCAAGCTGCGGCAGCGCTGCAGCTGCTTGCGGAGAGGTCTGCGAACCCTGGGCGGACATCTTTTGAAGGCGGGGGGGAGCAAAGACTTTTGCCCCCCGCCAGCCTTCAGAAGAGGTCCTGGACCTCTTCTGAAGGCCAGCGGGGGGCAAAAGTCTTTGCTCCCCCCTGCCTGCCTTCCCGGGAGAGCGGAGAAACGCAGCACGTTTCTCCGCTGTCCCGGAGGGCTTTTGAATGCAGGCGGGGGGAGCAAAGACTTTCGCCCCCCCCCAGCCTTCAGAAGAGGTCGGGGGACAGACTGTCCCCGGACCTGGTCTGAAGGCGGTTTCCCTAGGAACGCATTAATTGATTTTCAATGCATTCCTATGGGAAACCGTGCATCGCAAGACGAAAAACTCGCAAGACGAAGAGACTTGCGGAACGAATTAATTTCGTCTTGCGAGGCACCACTGTATAGGTCAGTCAATCAATAATCGGTCTGGTTTACATGACATGTTAAGCCAAACTATGGTTTGCCGGGACAGGGAGGATGTGCTGACCTCTAGGAGGAATCTGCACTGACTCCCCAAGTCCTTTTAACTTAGCATGGCAGCTAAGTCAAGGTTTGGCTTAGCATGGCATCCAAAATGCGGCTAGTGGTTAACCTCTCTCTTCCTTAAACTAGCAGCAACCACTTTCCTCCTCCAAGTCCCCGCTTTAAAAG